AAGCACTTCATTCGCTTGTGCAACAGCATTTGCAAGCACAGCAACTGGAGAGCTCCACTAGTCCCTGGAACACCCCGGTGATCGTTATTAAGAAAAAATCGGGTGCTTGGCGGCTGTTACATGACTTAAGGGAAATAAATAAACGCATCCAACCTATGGGCCCCTTGCAATTTGGCTTACCAAATCCAAATTTAATTCCTCAAACCGATCAACTTTGTGTGTTAGATTTAAAAGATTGTTTTTTCACCATCCCCCTTTGCCCTCAAGATCGCGAAAAATTTGCATTTACGGTGCCACAATATAATAATCAGCAACCCTCTCAAAGGTATCAGTGGAAGGTCTTGCCCCAGGGAATGCAAAATAGTCCAACCTTGTGTCAGCTTTTTGTGGATCGGGCCCTTGCCCCTTTCCGTGCCCGGTACCCTTCGCTAAAGGTCTACCATTACATGGATGACATTTTGCTAAGTGGTCCCCGGGTCACGGCACAACAGCTTGAATCTTTATCTCAGATTCTCGGCCAAAATGGCCTGTTAGTGGCACCAGAAAAAATCCAACGCTCTTATCCCTACCACTACCTCGGATATAAGGTTTTACAAACCTATGCTGCTCCGGTTCGTCCGGAATTAATTCTACCTCAACCCCTAACCCTTGTTAAATTACAACAGATTTTGGGTCATTTAAATTGGATTCGGCCCTACTTTCGTCTCCCCACTTCAATGCTGCAGCCGTTGTTCGAGCTCCTGCGTGGAGCCCGGGCACCGGGTGCGGTTATTGCCATCACTGAAAAGCATACTGCCTGCATTCGACAAATCAATGCAGCATTGAGTCAGCAGTTTGTGGACAGACTCCCAGAGGTCCGTCCCTTATGATTGGTTCTTCTTGCCACCCCTCATACGCCAACTGCAGCTCTGTTTGTACCCCGTACAGACACAGCCGTCTCTATTATAGAATGGCTATACCTTTCATCCACCCCTCCTCGAAATATTTATCCGTATTTAGATGCCCTATCTGATCTTGTTCGTAAAGCCCGCCACCGTGCAGTGCAACTCACTGGCACTGATTTAGTTGCCATTGTGCTCCCCTTGTCCTGTACTGAATTTGACTCTTTGTGCCACACCTCCTTGGCCTGGCAGGTTGCTCTTTGTGATTATGTGGGAGAGATTTCTTACAATCCTCCAAAAGATCCTCGGTTGGTCATTACCCAAAAGGTGCCCCTAGTTGTTCATCGTCTTAGCCGCTCTCAACCCATTGTTTCCGCTGTCACTCTTTTTACTGATGGCTCTCCCCATCGAGGTGTAGTCATTTATCAGTTGGGTGACCCCCCTCGTTGGCATTCTCGTTTTACCCTGCCTTAGCGTTCTGCACAGAGTTCAGAATTGGCTGTTGTTACTTTGGCCTTTCAACTTTTTGCTGATTGTCCCTTTAATTTAATTGTGGATACCCATTATGTTTATCAGGTAATTGATCATTTACCCCTTGCCCTCATTACCCCTCAGGTTGATGCAGACCTCCTCCGCCTGTTTTTGTCTTTGCAGCATCTTCTTGCCACTCGTCATTTCCCTTACTTTGTTGCTCATATTCGCAGTCATACCCCTCTGCCTGGGCCACTCACTGAGGGCAATGCACGCGCCGATCGCGCATTGCGTGGTCAGGTAAATTCCCTTTTTTCTGACCCCATTGAAAGCCATGCCTTTTTTCATCAGTCTGCCTCTGTTTTGGCCCGGCAGTTTCACATTCCTGCTGATCATGCACGTTCCATTGCTGCTGCTGCTCCTACCTTTTCTTATGCCGTTAACCCCCGAGGTACCGCAGCAAATCAGCTGTGGCAAATGGATGTTACTCATGTGCCACAATTCCGCCCCTATTCGTTTTTATATGTTTCCGTTGATACTTATTCGGGCTTCCTTTGGGCAACCTCACAACATGGGGAAGCCACTAACAAAGTTATTCACCATTTGCTGGCCTGCTTTTCTGTTATGGGTCGCCCCTGCCAAATTAAAACAGATAATGCCCCAGCCTACTGCTCTGCAGCCCTCTCCACCTTTTGTGCCCGCTGGGACGTCCGTCTTAAACACGGAATCCCTTATAATTCCACGGGCCAAGCCATTGTTGAACGTGCCAATCGCACACTCAAAACCTTGCTAGATAAACAATTAAAACAAGGGGAGCTGCGTCTCCGAACCTTAGGAGACATTCAACAACAAATGCATATCCTCTTGTTTACTTTAAATAATTTAACACTGAATGCAGATCAGCAGACCCCTGCGGATCGGCATTTTCACAAATCTGAGGTACTGGAAAGACCGCGTGTCTTTTACCGTCAGCTGCCCGATCCACAGTGGCTGGGCCCAGTACCTCTAATCACTTGGGGTTGGGGATATGCTGCTGTGTCTCTCCCTGCAGGACCGTTGTGGGTTCCAGCTCGGTGTGTGCGACCGGCACTTAAACAACATGGCATGGCACCAGGGGTTGTCGAATCCCATACCAGAGTTTCAGCTGACCTTGGAGGAGACCGCGTTGCCCCCCGAGTCGACAACGACGGGACGGAAACGGAGGAGGCGTAGTGTCCCAAACCGGCCCGTGACATGGGGAGCAGTAAAAGCATTGGTCGCCGCAGCCCAACGAAGGCTGGCAGCAGATCAACAGCCAGAGACTCCTGAGACTTTGTTTGTGGCGATTCTCGCCCAAATCACTGCTAATTCTGTGATGACTGTGTGCCTTTTGTGCCTGCTATTTCCTGTAGGGGTTGGCTCAGAAGCGCTTCCCCCGTTACGAGCCCGAATGACATATAACATATGGGAAAGATTGGCTTCAATAGCAAATGTTACCCACTTTTGTCTATCTAATTCTGTAGCAGCCGGAGATTTGTTAGGTACATGCCTTATTCCAGTATGTCATCACCCTGAGGAGATGGAGAATAAGACACTGTTCTCTGCTTATGCGAATCTTTCCTCCCAGTACTCTAGCATGGCTAATTGGGGCCCGGCCAACTATACTCTGCCTCGCACGGCTATATCCCTCCACACACCGTACCCGGCCGGGGCTCACAATGTCACCTGTGCGCGTGTAGTTAACTGCACTAGTACAAAGGTGCCCTTGGGCTGTCGAAAAATTTCTCAACCCCTTTTAAATTGTTCCCATGCTGTTAATGTTTCATATAATTATGGCCATATCATCCTACCATCAGGATGGTTTTTTACTTGCGGTTCACGAACCTTTAATTATATTCCTGCAAATTTAAGTGATGGCACCCTTTGCTGTCTTAGTAGAATGACACTTATATTGCCTTTTGCTGGTCAAAACCGTAGTAAAAGAAGTGTACCCCTTTCAGATGATTGTATTGCAGATGTTGAGCTTTTTAGTCGTGCTGAGTATACTGCCTTAGCGGCCTCTATTGTTGGGGTCCCCGCGCTTGCTATGTATTCCGCCAGAACTTTAAATAACCTGGCATGCTTTGCAGCAAAGGCAATTAATACAACATCCCAGGCTATTGCCTTACTTAACACAGAACAACACGAATTAAGGGATGCAATTTTGGATAACAGAGCAGCCATTGATTTTCTGCTCCTGAAACACCATCTAGGCTGCTCCACATTTCAGCACATGTGTTGCTTTAATTTAACTGATAATAGTTGCTCCATAGAAACTAGACTGGCTGAATTGGCCAGTCTTACAACACACATACGCCAAGATCTGGGGTTTGAGGGTTTTTGGAATTGGCTTACAGGTTGGCTGCCCTCTCTAGAATGGCTGCGACAGCTTTTTGGTTATTCTGTGTTTGTAATCATTGGGCTTATTTTTTGCTGCTGCTGTGTACAATGTATTCCTTCCTTGTTAAGACTTTGTAAAATTTCGCCCTGGAAAGCTCCCCAGGTTATGTCCTTGTCTGTCTGGGAGTTAAATAGCATGACAAAACAAATTGACGGCTACCAGGAGATGGCCAAATATCATTAAATAAAAAACGGGGGGATGAAGGGTTCATGTTTAGCTATTCCACCTGGAAGCAGGCAGGGCACACCCTGACTGTTTTGAAGAAGCAATGCACACATTGCTCTATCCAAGGACAAGGGCTAGATATGAACCATGAGAACTTGATTGTTGGGACAGCAACTGTGGGAAGCTTTCTTAGCCTGGGCTCAAGGCCTGAGAACCAGGATTGTAGTAGATAAAGGATGGTAAATAAGTATATTAATCAACGTCATACATTCCTTTGTGTATCTTTTTGCGGTAGCAGTGTGTAATGCTTAGGGGGGAGAAATATAATAAAAGGAGAAGGTGGAAGGCGGGGGGGCAGAACAGCCCATCTCAGCTGACCAGCCTGCTTGCTTGCATAAAGCTGTGTTCTGTCTCATCATTGAACCGCCACACTAACCCAACCCTAACCCTAGACCCACACCCTCACCCTAACCTAACCCTAACCGTAACCTTACCCCCTCACCCTACCCCAACCCTAGACCCACACCCTCACCCTACCCCAACCCCACCCCTAAACCTAACCCTACCCTAACCCTTACCCCTAAACCCTACCCCTAACCCCTTAACCCTAACCCCTACCCTCACCCTAGACCCTGACCCTAACCGTACCCTAACCCCAACCCCTACTCTCACCCTAAACCCTAACCCCGACCCCTAACCCCTCACCCTAAACCCTAACCCCAGACCCTGACCCTACCCTAACCCACCCACCCCAACCCCACCCCACCCGACCCCTCACCCTCTTACTCTGACCCTGACCCTTCCCCTGAGCCTAAATCCTCACCCCAACACCGCCTCCCAGTTCTCGCGGGATTTTCCGTTCCCGGCCGTGCCCCGCCCCCATAGCGCGGAGGCGCCGGCCGCAGCCTACTGGCGTTGCGCGAGGTCCCCCCTGCCAGGGCCCCACCCAGCCCGCGGGATTCAGTTTCCGGCGCCTCTCGCGGGATCCCCTGAGTGGCGGGATTTTCTCGTTCTCACCCCGCCCAGGTCTCGCGGTCTCTCCGCCATGACCCAGCTGTGCCCAGCTCTCGCGGGACGTGTCGGAGCCAGGTCCGCCGCTCGCGCAGGAGCCGCCTTCCTGCCGCGCTCCTCGCTCCAAGATGGCGACGCTGTCCGGCTCCCCCTCGGCCACGGGCCCTGGCCCGCCCGGCTACCGGCCCTTCGAGCCCGAGGCGCTGGGCCTGGCTCCGGGCTGGCGGCTCACGGGCTTCGGGGAGCTGCGCGGCTGAGGCTGCAAAGTCCCGCAGGAGACGCTGCTCAGGCTCCTGGCGGGACTGGGGGGGCCGCGCGCGGGGCTGGCGGCGGCCGGGCTCGAGACGGGGGGGCCCGAGGCCGGGGGGCCCTCGCTGGGTGAGCGCGGGGGGGCAGCAGCACGGAGTGTGGGGGCGGGGCGTTGCATGGGGAGCAATGGGGTCGGGGAAACACAGGGCTGTGGCTAGAGGGGGGCACTGGGGCCTGTCGGAATGGGGAGGGGGCTGTGGGCGAGAGGGATGGGTTGGGGGCAGCAGGGGGCTGGGGTTGGAGTGGGGCCTGTGACCAGTGGGAGGGGCAATGGGGAGGGGCTGTGAGCAGGAGTGGTGGGGACTCTGCAGCCATGGGGGAGTGATGGTGTAGAGGGAGCAGGGGGGCTGTGGGTGAGGGAAAAGGTGCTGTTGGGTGGCAGCAAAACGAGGGGTTGGGGCTGTGGGGGAAGTGTGGGTTGAGAGTTGTAGAGGCAGGGGGTGGCAGTAGGGTCTGGGAGCTGAGGGATAAGAGTTGTGGGCGGAGGTTGAGGTGGCAGCTTAGAGGGATTCAAGGTGGCAGTGGAGGGTTGGGGCAGTGGTTTTGGATGGATGGGGATGGTGGGTGAGGTAGGAGGGGGTTGAATTGGCTGTGGGGCCTGTGGCAGTGGAGGGATAAAGGCTCCAGGTGTCGGGACATCTGTGAGGAATGGGGATTATGGGTAGGGTAGTGGGCTAGAGGGCCGTTGCTGATGTGAAAGTCTCCATCTCCTGCTCGTAGGCATAGGGATGGACTCCTGCGTCATCCCCCTCAGGCATGGGGGTCTCTCCCTTGTACAGACCACAGACTTCTTCTACCCACTGGTTGAGGATCCCTACATGATGGTATGAGTAGGGGTGGGTTCCAGAGTGGGCAGGAGAAGGGAACAAGTAATGCCAGAGCCAGAGACTGCGCTTGTGATGGCTGGTGGAAGGCGACTGTTGTGGGCGTGCCATCTTCATGGGGGATGTGCTAGTGAGCTCAAAGCCCATGGGGGGGCATGGGTAGGGGATGCTCTCTAACTCAGAGCATGGGAAATGGGCCCCCTGCAGGGGACATGCTCTGTGGTGCAGAGCCCACAGCGCAGGAGATGGGCCCAAGGAGGGGGGCCACCTTGAGTCTCAGAGCCCAGGAGAATGGGGTATGGGCTCTCAGGCTCAGAGCCTGAGGCATGGAAGGTAGGTCCTATGGGTGACCCTCACGCTCCTGTGTTCTAGGGCCGCATCGCATGTGCCAATGTGCTGAGTGATCTCTACGCCATGGGCATCACCGAGTGCGATAACATGCTGATGCTGCTGAGCGTCAGCCAGAAAATGACAGATGAGGTGAGGGGATGGGATGTCGGAGAGAAGGGTCTACCTATGTGCTGTGGTCACTGACCTTCCCAGCTGGTATGGGTAGGCTCAGCGTGTCTCTACACTGCTGGTGTGGGGGTATGTTGGATGTTCTGTGACAGGAGAGTTGGAAGTACTGCAGGTTTATAGAGAATGAAGCAGCTGCTGCCCCAGAGCTGGCAGCCTGATAGTTCCTCTGCTCTGTAAAGCACAACTAAGATTTCCAGGCACTGAGTTACAATCCAGGGAGATGGTGCGGGAGGTCCTTGTCTCCCTACCAGAGCCCTGACTTTCCATCTAGGGCCCCTGAAATACCCTAGTGCTGGGGAAGGCAGAGACTGAGCCTTCTCATTGGTCTGATCCAGACTCAGCTCTCGGACATGGTTGGGTCCAGGCCCTCCCTCTGTCTCTCTTTCCCAGCTACCCAGATAGGAAGCTTCCTGGCAGGCTACAGGGTGTCTCCTGGCATCTTAGTGGCCTAACTGGGCAGCACCTCCTGTCTCCATCGGTCCAAGGCTAACACTTGTGTCTGTGTGCTTTTGCCTGAGACCATTGAGTGGGGTTCAGACTCCCCACTGACTTTATACTAGTCCCTGCACTGGTCCTGCTTTCTCTCTTCAACTCTGCAACCTGAGGGCTGAGGGGAGAGAACAAGGCTGCGTGGGACAGGCGGAGACTTAGGAGGTGAGATGATACCGGCGTAGCGAAGGGACTATCATGCAGACAGTGAAAGGGGAGAGCAGGACTAGTACGTGGGCATGCTGAGAAATTATTATTTAAAGAAAACCAAAACAAGGAAATTAACTGCCCCCAACAGTTTGTTAATGCAGAACAAAGGTTGCCCAGTGGTGTCTCATGCCCTTCCAGAACATGGAGATTGGCTAAACTGAAATCCCAGAAGTGGAAAGTGAAGGTACAGGCCGCCCTCACAACACAGCCTTAACTCTACCATGTCCCAGCATGCCAAGAACACACATTCTGGCACTCTAGATATCACAGAACATGGTAAAGTCCAATGCCACCTCTTTGCTAGGACAAAGGTCAGGTTTAGGTCTGGTGTATTGAACAGGTGCTGCCTGCCTCGCCTTACACTGAGAGGCGGAGCCAGTGCCACCCAAACAATCCCATATTTGCTGTTTGCTGCCACCCCTTCACTCCTGCAGTGAGGATTCCATCTGAGACATTGATTTCATCTATCCCTCACTAAGCCCTGGAGACCACAGTAGTGTATGCCCCCAGGCTGATCATCCCTGTGGGATGGGAGGAAGAGGACACCCTCATGCACCTCTTCTGACTCAGCCTGCAGAATTCAGCACTGAACTGAGGCATTCCTCAAAGTTCATATGCAGCTGTTCTCATAGCATGGTGACAGCTCTGCCAACTTGCTCCAGCTGATTCACCCACCACTCAGTACAGCTGTGTCTCACACAGGATTGTAGGTGGAGTGCAGGAAAATGCTTAAATTCAAATCTGGAACACAGCACAAACAGTGGCAGGTTTTTAATGTCTGCCTATTATGGCTCCCTCTCTTACTTTAACCGTTCCCTGTGGCTATTGCCTGCTGTGGGGCGGGGAGAAGGCTTAAGATTGTGTTGTGGGAGTACCAGGTACCTTTGTATTTCCTGGTTTCCAGAAGCTGTAGCCAGCAGTGCTGGGCAGCTTGGACTCGACATTAACAAAGTGTTGGGGGAGTTAATCGAAGAAAAGAGTCACATGATGTGGCCCATGCTATAGTGTCTCTCTCTCATCCCCCAGTACTTGGCACAGGTCAGTGAGGAGGCTCTTGTTATACTGAGCAGTAAAGCAAATACACCTCTATTCCGATATAATACGACCCGATATAATGCGGGTTCACATACAACGCGGTAAAGCTTTGATACGCTGCTCTGAGCAGTGTGTTAAGCGTGCCGGGCCAGGGCCAAGGTAAGGGGCAGAGGGTCTCAGGAGTGGTCAGGGGTTCCCCCCGCCAGGGTCTGGGGGGCAGGAGCTATGGTGGGGCACTTTTGGAGGCCCCACAGTCCCAGAGTGGCTCAGGAGATTTGCGGGGGGGCCGGGAGCAGCCCGCTCTGCTTCCCTCGCCCCGGCCCCAGATGTGTCGCTTGGGGGAAGGAATCCCCTCCGCACTCACCGGCAGTGGCGGAAGTGGAGCAGCCCGTTCCACTCCGCCAGCTCCCAGCCGTGGCGCTCCGCTTCCCGCTGCAGGTGAGTGTGGGACCTTTCCCCAACCTTGCCCCCAACAACATGGCTGGGGCAAGGAAAGCAGAGCGGGCTGGGGCTGGGTTGCTCCACTTCCCGCCGCCGCTGAGTGCGGAGGGCATCCTTTCACCAACCCCTACCCAACCTCCCTGCTCCAACCCCTATCCACACCCCCCGCCCCCTGACAGGCACTCACCGGCAGCGGCGGGAAGTGGAGCAACGTGGCCCCAGCGCGCTCTACTCCGCCAGCTCCCAGCCACAGCGCTCCGCTTCCTGCCACAGGTGAGTATGGGGGCTGTCCTTTCCCCAACCTCCTCGCACTCACCAGCGGTGGGAAGTGGAGTGCTGCGGCTGGGAGGTGGTGGAGTGGAGTGGGCTGGGGCTGCGTTGCTCCACTTCCCGCCGCTGCCAGTGAGTGCCTGTCAGGCGGTGGGGAGTGTGGATAGGGGTCGGAGCAGTCAGGGGGCAGGGAGGTTGGGTAGGGGGTGGGGTCCTGGGGGCGATTAGGGAACAAGGAACTGGGGGGCCAAAGCAAGTTCGATATAATGCGGTGAGATTTTTTTGTCTCCCAAGGACCACGTTATATCGGGGTAGTGGTGTAACTTTAATTTCCCCTCTGGTCATCTTGTCAGTGACCAGCTGTCAGCAGTCAGTGCCCCAGGGGCTCGGTACTCTGTGCCCCTAGACCCATTTGTCAAGCCCCAGTCAACAACTTGGTTCTCGTCAAAGGAGTTACCTTCATCCTGATAGGACACTGAACTATGTCAGCATCTCCACAAAGCACTGTTTGTTCAAGTGTGCTGTCGGGAGGCTCCATGCTGCAGAGAATGATTATTGTCCCTTCATTCTGAGGATGCCTCCTCGCCTTCCCAGCCTTGCTCTGGTCGAATGCCCTGCTGTCCTGGCATGTTTTCCAGCATTTCAAGTCCTTCTGATCTTCCTGAGTGGAGCTGATTAAAATCTGATATGTGACCTTTGGCTGTAGGTGTGAGGTCACCTGCAGTGTCAGTCTGTCGGGCCCTGTTGCATGTTGTCGTCCTTTTCTATTCCTCCTACTAATCCACTTTCTCAGAATTCGGAAGTGTTGGCAGATCCCAGATCCTGGTCCTCAGCTGCTCTCTCCCTGCTGGTGCCTCTCAGTCCTGGCTTCCCTAAGGCACGCCCTGCCCTCCTTACACACAGGTCCCCTGAGCTGCCAGTAGCCAGCCCACCAGCTGTTTCCTGACCTGTGTTCTCACCTTCCCAGGAGCGTGAAAAGATTATGCCACTGATGATCAAAGGCTTCCGGGATGCCGCAGAGGATGGTGGGACATCAGTGACAGGCGGGCAGACTGTGTTGAATCCTTGGATCATTGTCGGGGGTGTTGCTACTGTGGTGTGCCAGCCCAACGAATTTATCATGTGAGTGAGGAGCAGTGAGGCCCCAGGAGCTGTACAGTTAGTACCAGGGTTAAAGGGCAAGGGGCAGCCCGAGGTGCCAGAAGCCTCCAGTGGGCAGGATAGCCTGAGGCATGCACAGCTCCTGGAGTGGCGGGAGGGAGGAAGTATGCAGGGGTCCCACATTTCTGTGGTCTGGGCTGCGTGCTAGCCACTACACAATTCCCTGGAACCAGACCCCGAGGGACCATGCTTTTTACAAGGATGAGCGCGGCAGCTCTCCGACTCAGTTTGGGTTTTCAGGTTCCAGCTTCCTTATATCTCACTGTGGTCTCTTACAGTGAGCCCACCTTAATTCAGTCTCCTGGAGAGATTTCTGCACCTTCAGGGAGCAATGCAATCAGCGAGTAGTGATGCAGGGAGGTAGAGTTAGTCACCCAGAATATGGCATTCGAGAGTTCTTTGGTCAGCATGGAAAAGCCACGCTCTTCAGTCAGTATTGGTAGAAGCAGTGGCTGGAGGGCATAGCCAGGAATGACTCACCTGGGTGTGCACAGTTCACGGGTGTATCCGTTTCAGGCCAGACAGTGCAGTTCCCGGAGATGTGCTGGTGCTGACCAAGCCGCTGGGCACGCAGGTGGCTGTCAACGCTCACCAGTGGCTGGATAATGTACGTATTCACCTGCTGCTATTGTTGCCCTGTTATGCGTGCACAGCTTGCAGTCGGGGGAGGTGAGGGAGTCGGGATTGAGGAGCTGCCATGGGAGAGCCCCCATAGATCCTCGGGCCCAGGCGGTAGAACATCCACAAGATGGGCAACAGGCCTTGCTTTGGGACCCTCCGGAGGGTTTGGAGGAGACTGAGCCCCTGGGGGTGGCGGGGGAAGGGGGGGCAGGCCTGGGTGCCTCTTACCCTCTCCTGTTTCTTTTCCAGCCTGAGAGGTGGAATAAGATTAAGCTGGTGGTGTCCAAAGAGGACGTGGAGCTGGCCTACCAGGAAGCCATGTTTAGTATGGCCATGCTGAACAGGACAGGTAGGCACCTGGACATGTAGTTGGTGAGGAGCATAGGCTGCTCTGTTCTGCAGCTCCCAGCAGTAGCCTGACTGGGCTTGTGGCAACAGGACTTGCTTCCTGCCTCAGTGTCTGGAGCTGGTAGTCAGGGAGCAGCCAGAGCCTCTTGGCTTGTGAGCTCATAGGTTAAACTAAGCAGCACGACATGAGATCTGTGCTTGGCAGGGCGTCTTCAGGGGAGCACCCCTCCTCTCCCGGCATTAATCTCCCAAAAGAGAAAGAAACGAAGCCCTGGCAAGTGAGAGGTGCATAAAGTCCCTTTTGGAATCCACCCCCTTGTCATGGAGTTAGCTCCTTCCTGACCGGCCCGTAAGTGCCTCTCCTTCCCCGCCACAGCTGCCAGTTTGATGCACACTTTCAATGCTCATGCTGCCACCGACATCACGGGCTTTGGGATCCTGGGCCACGCACAAAACCTGGCCAAGCAGCAGCGCAGCGAGGTCTCTTTTGTCATCCACAACCTGCCTATCATCGCCAAGATGGCTGCCATCAGCAAGGCCTGCGGGAATCGTTTTGGGCTGCTGCAGGGGACATCCCCGGAGACATCAGGTAGGGCGGGGAACCAGGGTCACCTGAATTAGAGGTGCCTCCTAATTCACCTACCCACAGGCAGGTGAGGACGGCTGTCTCATATCATCAGGCCTGGCCAGTTCCCTGGGGATTTCAGGGGAGGCAGCTGGGACGGTTTGTGGCTCAGAAGCTTGATGCCTCTGAGATGAAGCTGGGGCAAGACAACATGGGATTGGCACCGGGGCTTCGCGTAAGACAGCCAGTGACCAAATGGTGGGGCCTGGTGTGACAGGAGAGAGGGAGAGACTCACTGGGTTAACCTGGCAGAGTGGAATCTGATACCATTTTGTTTCAATATTTATCGACTCCACTCTCCTGGGCTGGCTGCCAGGCCTTAGTCATCCTGCCTTGTAGTCCCTGCCCAGGGCAAGGAGAGAAATGCTAATCCCTGCACGTCACCCCAGGCCACTGCGTGTGCACCGGCTCTAGCTAGCGGCTGGGCAGCGGGACTCTGGTGGCATCTCCCCACAAGCTAACTGTGTGGGGCAGAGAAGAGCTTTCACCCCTTTCTGAGCTGCTCTGATTGGCCCATGGCAGAAGGCTTGCGGGGCCAATAGCAACCTTCCCCCCACGACTGCTGCTGACTGTCTACATGGCAGTGAGACTTGAGGGCGAATTGACACCCCTCCCCCCACAATGGGGACTGAGTAGCCCTGTCCCTCTTTGCAGGGGGGCTGCTAATCTGCTTGCCCCGGGAGCAGGCCGCCCGCTTCTGTGCTGAAATCAAGTCTCCCAAATACGGGGAGGGGCACCAGGCCTGGATCATTGGCATCGTGGAGAAGGGGAACCAGACTGCGCGCATCATCGACAAGCCGCGCATCATCGAAGTGACGCCCCGGGGCGCCACGGCCTCCCCCCAGGAGAACAACTCAAGTGCCAGCCCTGAAGCAGCCTCGTGAGATGGCAGATCTTCCTTCCTTTGGACACTATAGGCCTCTGCCACAGATACAGGGCAGCAGGGCTGGCTGGGTGTCTTGGCTTTGGGAATGAGAATCACAGAATCATAGGACTGGAAGAGCCCTCGAGAGGTCATCTAGTCCAGTCTCCTGCACTTTGGCAGGACTGCTCTATACCATCCTTCCCTTGAGAGCTGTGCGTCTCTCATGGTGCAGCAGATGCTGATCTTCCTCCCCAACTCAGAGCAGCACTGTGATCAAACGGCTCCCCTTCCCAAGGTCAAGGTGGCCGAGGCAAGGCCCTTCCAGACTGTGCCTGAGCTGAGTGTCCGGTGATGCTGCTTTCCCCACAGGCTGATTCAGGGGGTTAATGTGGCTAATTGGTTCCTGCAGATGAAATGAATTAATTATTTATTAAGGATAAATGCAGGTGATGCAGAACAGCAGGTAGTTTCTGTCTAGAATTATTTATTGGAATATTTCAACGACCTCTCAGGCTCCCCCAGCCTTTGTTCAGACTGAGCAGCTGGTATAAAGGCTGGGAGGGTTGGTATAAGCCATGTGGCTGGGCATGTGCCCTTCCTCTCTTTAATGAAGCTCTTCCTCTTAAACCCACCCTGGGGCTAGGAGGAGTCGAGGACCCCCAGAGGGCAGGGCACCAGCTCAGCCAGGTGGATTGCTTCTTGGGTTGTAAATTCCTGATGATTGATTCAATAAATACCAATTTCTATATGTGCTGTGGTGGTCAATCCGCAATGGGGGGGCTGGACGCACACTGCACCGACGGCCTGCAACGAAGGCACTTCACAATTGGCACGATCAGAGTGGGATAGGATGGTGCAGGAAGGGTGGGGGCTGAATGTCAGCCAATAGATGTATCCGGTATCGAAGTTAATGTAGAATCACTGCTGCTAACGTTTGCAGATGATGCAAAGATTCACGGAGTGGTCAATGAGGAGGATAGGGCAGCCATAAAGAATGATCTGGCCCAAGCTTGGTAAGATGGGGCCATTCAAACAACGTATTTCAATACAAGGTCATACAGCCAGGAACATTGAGTGCAGGTGAGAATGCCCAAGGGGCTTGTGTGCGCAAAGGTGGGAGGGGAGCATGCAGTGAGTGGGTCTGTGGGTTGGGGTGGGGTGTGATCAGGCCAGCTAGGAAAGCAAAGTGTAAGGAGGGCCTGGGGCTGTCACGTGACTTTATGGGATGCTCCTTGTTTTGGCCTTTTCAGTGCACTTTGCAAAATGGTTAATGGGAAAGGGCTGGAGGAGGGGAGAGAGGAAACCCCTCAAATGATCACTGAACCCAGGAGTCTGGCCCTGCCACCCCAGGGGAATGGCCTAGCCATCAGGATCATGGAGGGCAGTGTTGGGGGCAGGGGGATGGAGATAGATGGCTGGTCTGTTCGGGCCAGGTGGTGGTGCCACCTGGTGTCCGTGAGGGAGGTTGGTGCTGCTGGAGCTGGGAGAAGAAATTACCCTAGCGTTCTCCCATACTGGCCTCTGGTTCTGCCTGAATTCAGCCTGGGACTGATAGCCAGGACTTTTGGGTTCTATGCACGGCTCTGGGAAGGGAGTGGGGTCTAGTGCAGTAATTCTCAACCTGTGTTCTGTGGACCCCTGGGGGTTTCCGCACCTCCATTCAAAGGTGGAATCACTTTTTTATTTTTGTAAATTTTTTAGGGGTCTGCAAATGAAAATAGGTTGAGAACCACTGGGCTGGGGGAGTAGGGGACTGACAACCAGGAGTCCTGGGTTCTCTCCCTGGCTCTGGAAGTGGGGGGTGGGGTTCTGGTGGGTTAGAGGGAAGGGGGAGTTTGGTTCCCACATCTGCCAATCAGCTGGTGTGAGATCATAGACAAGTCCCTTCCCTGCTCTGTTTCCCCTTCTTGCCAAGTATCTATTCAAATTGAGCGTTTGGGTCAAGGACTGTCTGTGCGGTGCCTGGCAAAATGAGATTCTGAGCTCAGCTACCCTAGTACTGCTAATAATGCATACTGTGTAATGGGGCCCAGTCGCAGTTGGGCAGGGCGTGAAGACTTGTCTGGCAGCCAAGAAACACCCAGAAATAGGGCATGATAGTCACTGGAGATGCTCAGGAGTTGTTTCTGAAGCTGCACAGGAAGTTTCCATTAAGGGCATGTAGTCTTGCAGGCCTCACCCATTCACCCTCAGAGCTGAGCCAGTCAGAGCATGGTGAAGATTACATGCATGGGAGTTAAAGCCAGCACTGTGGACTCTGCAGCCAATTGACGTGGGTGATTGTTGTGTGGGCTGGTCCCAGCACCCAGATAATTTTGGATGCAGGTAAGTGCTATTCCAGCTGTACTGCTGGTGAATGCACACAATAGGCTGTTGTGTCCTATGGATCTGGAGGGAGAGCTGACAGCCCTAGAGGCTACAGAGCCTGTGGGACTTAGACCAAGACTCAGTCCCAGTTTAAACAAGGGAGCTCATAGCTCAGTGTAAGAGAAACCAGGGCAGAGTCAAGGAGTACTTGTGGCACCTTAGAGACTAACCAATTTATTTGAGCATGAGCTTTCGTGAGCTACAGCTCACTTCATCGGATGCATACCGTGGAAACTGCAGCAGACTTTATATATACACAGAGAATATGAAACAATACCTCCTCCCACCCCACTGTCCTGCTGGTAATAGCTTATCTAAAGTGATCATCAGGTGGGCCATTTCCAGCACAAATCCAGGTTTTCTTGTTTCATATTCTCTGTGTATATATAAAGTCTGCTGCAGTTTCCACGGTATGCATCCGATGAAGTGAGCTGTAGCTCACGAAAGCTCATGCTCAAATAAATTGGTTAGTCTCTTAGGTGCCACAAGTACTCCTTTTCTTTTTGCGAATACAGACTAACACGGCTGTTACTCTGAAACAGGGCAGAGTCGAGAGGGGGGGAGGGTTTGTCAGTCCTCATCTGCCCTAGCGGGGCACATGGAGAGAGGACAGTGCCCAGGCAATGGGGGTGTTATATGCTAGTCCCAGAGCCTGCACCACTTTGGATATAGGATACAGATTTCCCCCCTCACCAGCATCTGAGCAGAACATGCAGTTGCTAACCCGAGGCTGGAACACTGCTAGTCATGAGGATCCTAGACTGTGCTCACTGACAAAACTCGGAAGGGTTTGGAAAAGCGCAGAGACGCTGCCGTTCTTCTCCAGCTCTGGAGCATCCTGGGACCCGTGCTGCACTTCAGGGCAGGCTGGAGAGTGAGAAGTTGAGCAGAGGGGATGTGTTCATATGCATGGGCTGAGGTATAGAAATGTAAATGTTTTGTTAAAGTCATGCATTGGACTGTGCATAATAGCAACAAAGTGGAGCAGTCTTTATGGGCAACAGTAGCACTGTTATTACCTAATAGATAGTAAACAGACGTTATCTATAAATGTTCCAAATGCTGTTGAGGGTGTTCACTGTGTGTATTGTTTGTTTAGTAAGGGGTTGACTGGGGCTCTGTCTTTGAAGCTGACTGGGAACTAGTTACACCAGCAATCCATGTTTTACACACACTGGCCCTGAGTGTGACTCTGCAGAATCAAAGGCCAGAGTTTGGTCTTAGCTGAAAACTCTACAAGGAGTGTTAAGCTAATGTGTAGGGGAGACTGTCCTAGAATTCTACACAATATTAGCTCAGCTCTCTGTTCTTGGTGTGCATTTTCTGATGGGGCCCTCACCCAGTTGGGACCTCTAGGTGCTACCACACGTAAACTTAATAGTGGGGCCTTTATGTGCTCCTGTAGTAATGTGGCCCTGATCTTGCTTGGAATGTTGATTTTTCATCCTGGTCTCCTTTTAACTAATTCCTCTCGTTGTAGGTTGTGGCATCAGTGCCAGCCCATCATGAACTGGAACTCAAAAGTGGACTCACATATTTGTGCTCCATAATGCACCTTAGCTGGAGATGTCATCTCAGAGTGTTGCGATGCTGCTGTGGAACATTCTTGCTAGGGCTGTGCTCTGCTGTGGGGGAATTTTTGATCCTTGATGCTGGAATAGGGAAGCGTTGGTACCAAAATGCTGCCTTTCTCTCCCTTCCCTCCCCCAATGCATCTGTTAGCAAACTTTTGTTTCCACTTCAGTTGCTGAGATACTATCACCTGCCCCCACATCCTCCTGGCTGTAGAGAGAGGAAGCTGCACTCAGCTAGTCTGTTAAAATAGAAGTAAAAATCCCCTTCTCACACACATCTGTAAGAAAATAGTGCGCTGTTCCTTGCCGTCAGTTCTTCACACCGGGTGAGACTGCTGGGACAATGCAACAGGAGGTAAAAGGCCTTAAAAGGGAGCCTGCGATAATGCACCTGAATGTGCTGGAGGAGTTGGAATCACCTCAGCACCAGAGCACACCCTGCTGCCCATGGGGGCCTTAGTGCTTCAGCAGCAGCCAAGGAAAGGTTGCTGTGGGGCTGTTGCACCTCCCAGAAACTGTTCTGAATGTGGGCTGTATTTTGCTTTTGAGTCCCTCTGTGTAATCTCATTAACTCTAATTTAGCCTGATTTCTGTTCCCCTTGCCTCACTGTGTTAGTGTCACCCTGATTTGGCATAAGAATGGCCGGGCTGGGTCAGACCAAAGGTCCATCTAGCCCAGTATCCTGTCTTCCGTCCGTGGCCAGTGCCCCAGAGAGAATGAACAGAAAAGGTCATTATCAAGTGATCCATTCCCTGTTGCTCATTCCCAGCTTCTGGCAAACAGAGGCTAGGGACACCATCCTGGCTAATAGCCATTGATGGACCTGTTCTGCATGAATTTATCTCGTTTTAAGTCTTGGCCATCACAACATCCTCTGACAAAGAGTCCCACAAGTTGACTGTGTGTTGTGTGAAGAAATACTTCCTTTTGTTTTAAATGTGCTTTTAATTTGGTGGCCCCTAGTTCTTGTGTCATGAGGAGTAAATAACACTTATTTACTTTCTTCATCCTAGTCATGATTTTATAGACCTCTAGCATAACCCCCATTAGCTGTCTCTTTTCCAACCTGAAAAGTCCCCGTTGTCTTATTCTCATCCTGTAGAAGCTGTTCCATGCCCCTAATCAGATTGGAACAGCAGAGTCCCCTGCACTGTAACCCAAGAGGCTGCTTGCAGGGTGATGTGCTTTGCAGAATGGGCCTGGCTTTTAAACATCAACATACAAACCAGACTTTTTATGTTAAATCTCCCAAGCCATAATGAGACAGAGACTGGCCCCAAAGCTGGGGGGAATGTGGCTCTGTAACTTTAAAGGAGGGAACACTTACTGGGGGGTGTGGAGAGTGCTATGGTGAGGTTCACTTGCCATCTTTATGCTTCAGAAATTTGGGAGGGATGCATCAGCTGTACACAGTGGAGCTGGGTCCTTCCAGCCAGGGTCCAATGGGGGTGGGGGGAACAGTGCTAACTAAAGCTGAGCCCCCCTCTGTGGGCTGCTAATAGAAGTGTCCACTGGGCTCCTGCTAATGCACCTCAGCCAATGAGCCACAAGTGAAGAAAAGCGAGCTTCCTGATTGGTCTGCAATGTAGCCAATCGGTGGGGGCGGGCCCACTCAGCCACTCGCTCCCGCCAGCCTTGCGTTCTGGTTACATAACACGCACCGCTCCCCTGCTAGAGTCAAATGGCCACGCTCGGAGGCCGGGTGCGGTTTCGTTAGGGCATGAGCCATAAATGCTGCAAAGCAACCGGCTGGCAAAGAGCCCTGAAAAAGGCTGCGTGTGAGAAGTTGAGAGGTTTCAGAGTAACAGCCGTGTTAGTCTGTATTCGCAAAAAGAAAAGGAGGACTTGTGGCACCTTAAATAAATTGGTTAGTCTCTAAGTGCCACAAGTACTCCTTTTCTTTTTGTGAGAAGTTGAGCACTTTTCGCTAGCCCAGTATCCTCTATGTTAACTAGCCTAACTCCATGAGCTTGCACGCATGCACCAGGAGGCTATGCTCAGGGGATTTAATACTCCCCCCAGCGTATTTGGTTAGTTTATAAGCAACTTGTGAGACATATTTCAGAGTAACAGCCGTGTTAGTCTGTATTCGCAAAAAGAAAAGGAGGACTTGTGGCACCTTAGAGACTAAGGTGCTCAAATAAATTGGTTAGTCTCTAAGGTGCCACAAGTCCTCCTTTTCTTGTTAGACATAAGACTCCACTAGTTGGTAGCTTCCTAATGTTACTTTTTTAAAGTTAATTTAGGAAAAAAAGTACTTCCAAACGTGCCCAGTGTTCATACCCTTTACGCACAGAGCGATTAACCTGAGGAAAGCCTGTCTCCCAGACCAGGAGGCAGCACTTCCACTCAGGCCTCAACATGGAGCACAACGATGGCTCATTGGCTATTTCAGAAGTACTGAAGGGTACTGGCCTAAGGACTGACACAAGCGACCCAGACCCCTACTGCCTGCCCTGCTGCTTACACCGTAAGGGGGCAGAGTTGCCAGATGATCCATAAATGCAAACTAATGCACACTGGAACACATAGTCCTCACTACAGACGGTGTGTGTGTGTAAAACAGCTGCTGTTTAGGATTAACCAGTATTGAATTTTATTCGCCATCTTGTCTTCCCCCCTCCCCTCAGTAGTGCCAGCACTTGCGTTTTGGACACTGTTATTCCATGGTAGAGGAGGGCAGACCTGGTGATTGTGTGAATCTAGCTCAGCGTATAAGCACCTTCACAAGAAGAAAATACCAGGTACTTAGAAAAGAAGCAGATTCTTGTGTTGTAGATGCTTTAGCCAAACCAGGAAGGGGGCTCAATACAGCAAGGTCTGTAAACACTCAACTCCCCTCCCTCCACATTAAGTTTTAATAGACTTTACATTAAGGCAAGAGTCTGACTTTTAGAGCAGCACATGGACCATAATGTTAAATAACCAGAGCACAGTGTAGAAGGAAAGCAGAGAGATGCTGCGACAGCCTGAAACTGAGCAGGAGAATCTGTCTTCACCACCACACCCTGCAAATGGTTCAGGGTTAGCAATAAGGTGCTCAAAAAGGAGATGAACAGTGAAACCTTCCTGTCACCCCTCTTCTACCCCTGCCGAGTGCTGCTACACCCCTGGCTTGAAGTGGTTTCCATTCTATACAGGGTTTAAAGTTTGGTTCAGTAGCTCTCAGCGCCCCTGCTCACCCTACAAATCTGTCAATCTCCACAGATTGTCAAATCCCTGAATTACAGCAGATCAGGTACATTCAGTTTCACGTAAGGCAGAGACAATGGTGCAAACCCCATCCTCCCCCATGATACCCACAGACTGTCCATTCCAACTGGCTCAAGACAGCTGTGAACCCAGTTTGCAGCATTGTGTCGCAGAGCAGCAAGTGCCATGGGGGGGGGGGGGAAGCAAAGAGTCGAGCAGGCCAGGCACGCCCCTTGCCCCCAGCCTCCTCCTCCTTCATGGGCATCACTTGATACAGTCCATCACATGGATCTGCAGTGTATCCATGTCAGGAGCCTGGTACTGGCACTTGGGACAGCAGAAATCCGGCTGCTCCTCGGAGATACTTCGCCTACGCCCTGCAGCTGGCAGGGCTTGGAAAGGTACTGGGGCCATGTTGTAAACTAAGGAGAGAGAGAAAGTTACTGTCCCGAAGATCAGCACCTTCCCGTGGTGCCCAGATAGTCTGCAAGTGCCCAGGCCCTGGCCATGAGCATGCCCCACCTAGGGAGAGTTTTAAGACTCACCTGGCTGGGGTACAGGCGGGCGCCCCTCCGAATGGCGGTTCCTCATCTCCTCCATCAGAGCCCTTTGCAAAACAGCAAGAGGTTAGGAGTGTGTGGGTGGGGGGAAAGGGGGGGGGGGTCAAAGCAGAACTTCAGCATCCCTTTCTTCCTCCCTCCCCCTCCCCACAAGCATTAGAGTGGGGCTCAAACCCCCATGGGACCCAGGGCTGTGGGCATGGCTAGGGACACTGGCTCTCCACAGGAGCCCCAAGGGACAAAGCACCTGTCTGCAGATTCGTCTAGCAAGACAGGAACTTACACTAAGCTCTGACCCACTGACAGAGCCCACAGGCCAAGTGTTTGGGGAGTGGACACAGACAAAGGGAACACTCACCAGGTGGCTCCATTAGCGTCTGCCTTCAGCTTGTCATAGTCCCGCCGTAGCTGCTCCAACTGCTCCTGCAGAGTTTCGCGTTGCTCGTGCAACTTCTCCCGGGCCTCACGTTCTGCTAGGAAATCCGCCTTGTAGATATCGGCCTGCAGGAGAGGCACCAGTGACCCTGCCCTTCAGCAACTGTGCGCGCACACACACAGTTACCCCCCACCTCCCATCCCCCTGCACCCACCTGGGCCTTCAGCACCGGGATGGTCTCCAGCACAGCCTTGTGCTGCTCCATGTCCTCCTTCAGCTTGTCAATCAGCTCCTGCTTGGCCACCAGTGCCTCCTCGGCCTGCTGCAGCTGCTGTAGCAGCTCCTTCAGGTGCAGCTCCATGCCCTGGAGTGGGGGAGAGGCCCACATAACACTGAGCAGCAGGGCACCCAGAGGGCAGGGCTGGCCCCAGCCATGGAAGCCAGCCAAGCAGCCCTTCTCCCCCACAAACCAACTCTAAACCCACCTGGCTCCTCTTCTCGCTCTCTAGGCTGGATTTCACATGCCCATCGTACTCCTGAAAGATCTGGTGATAGGCCGCCTGCAGCTGGGCCAGCTTCCTCCTGAGGGATAACTGTGAGGTCAGAAGCAGCTCCCCACCCCCCTCTGCTCCCATACCACCCCAACTCTCCCTCCCACTCATCTCCATGGCACACTCCCCCCACCCCCCAGACAGACAGGCGCTCCTCTGCTCTGTGGCCCCCGTTCCCACGCCCACTCACTTCTCCTCTGTGGCGCCCTGCCTCTCCACCCGCAGCGCCGTCTCCAGGTTCTGGGCCTGCATGCGCAGCTGGTCCACCTGCACGCTGTGCTGCTTGTGCAGAGCCTCAGCCTCCCGCTCCAGCTTGCAGCGCTGCTCGGCAGCAGCCTGTGCTCTGGTGCACCGGGCAGGGGAGAAATGCCAATGTTAGCAGGGGGCTCGGTCCCACGTGCCCCCTCGATAGTGTGAAAGAATGAATTATATTGAAATTATAATTCATTAAAGAAATGCTACTTGAAGGGTTTGTTGAAATATAGTTGTCAGGAAGAGAAACATTAAGGAGTGTGAGACAATGGGTCCTCAAACTAATTAACTTGGAGCTCCTACTGAGCTAGGAGATTGGTAAAGGTTAGTATGCAAATAAGATATGTATGTCTATTTGTCAGTTTCTGCTTCCTTTTGTCTCTTATGTTAAATTGGCTTTGGCTTAGCTGTATAAATAAGTTATCTTGAGCCTCAGAGAGGGGCTCACATTCAGGTGCATTGGCAAAGCGCTTTGCTAATAAACAGAGTGGTCTGACAAATTATGTGAGTCCTGAATCTGACTTTGACAATTGTCAAGGCCTGCATCCCACTTCCAACCTCCCAGGACAGGTCAGTGGCTGCAGCTAAACTGACCTGCTGCCAGCCCCAGACCAGGAGGGAAATTCACGGGTGCGCATACTCACTTCTCCTCCAGATCCTGTTTCTCCAGCATACAGGCCTCCAGCCGGCTCTGGCTCTCCTGCAGCTCCCCCAGCAGTGAGGTCACCTGGGCTTTCACCGAGGCCCTGTCCTCCGTCAGCTGCTGCAGGGAGGGAAGGGTCCACACCTTAGCCCAGGCCACACCGCCTGGGGGATCTAGATTCAGAGAGAGGGTGAGGCTGCCGCAGGCTGGGATGGAGGCTTATGGAGGCCCCGTCCTCCTCCCTTTCCCACTTCCCTGGAGGAGGGGATGGCGTTGGATGTGTTTGCACGTGGGGGGAGGGGGGGTAAGAAAAAGGGAATATTCTAAAAATGTTTGTGACTGATATGCATGGCAGGGACTTACTGAACTAGAGATCGCTACCCACTGGGGACAGAAGGGTTAAAAAGCTGCTTCTGGGTCCGAGCAGGGAACATGGGGGGGGGGGGGGGAAGAGAGAGAGAAAGGTGTCACATCTAGGGGTTGCTAGAGGACTGGCTGCAACTGACCCATGTCAATGGGAGCCCAAGGACTGAACAATTAACACCTAACAGCGCAAACTCCAGCAGGCAGAGCCTGGGGACTGAGGAGGTTCTGCAGGAAAGACAATGGGACTGGGGCATCGGGACTGGGTTAATAGCAGGTGTCACCATTGGCTTCTCTCTGCTAACCAAAGGACATCCAAAGCTGCACCCAAGTGACTACACCCAGCTCTGTTTGGAGAACACCTGGCTGCTGGGCATCACTCACTGGGGTGTATGGGTCCCTGCAGAGCATAAAAGTCTCTCCCAGGAGTTTGTCTGGGAGGGCCGGTGCCCGGGGGCTCTATCTCTGACTCAGTAAAGCTGCATAGCCTCCCCTGACAGAAGAGGGGGACTCCTTGGGGGCATGCTTACAGGGTTTCTCTGAGGGTCTGTTTAAAGGCTGGGGTCTAGCACCCATCCCATGGGGCCGTGACTTTGGCAGCATTTACCTCCAGCTGTTTCCTCAGGGCCTGAAGCTGCTGCTCGGCCTGCTGCTCAGCCTCCTGCGCCCTGGCTCCCAGCCTGGCCACCTCCTCCCGCACCAATGCCAGCTGCTGCTTCAGCTCCACGCTCCTGCCAGGGAACCCACACAGTGAGTGGGTGATGGATCAGCGCCGAGAGCCCTGCCACCTGCCCCCGCTGCGTGTCTTGCATTCCCCTCCTATCCACCCCCCCCCGAAGTATCCGCCAGCCTCTTGCACAAAACCTGACCCACTCCATCCCCCAAGCGCTGAGAGCGCCCTGCATCCCCCTCCCCTCATGCCCACACACCACATCCCAGAGCCCCCTGCACCAGCCCCTAACACACACGCAGGTGCCAGCACTGTCCCCAGGGGCACAAAACCAAGCCGGGAAGCAACTTACTCCTCCTCCGTCTCCTTCAGCCTCCTCTGCAGCAGCTTGGCTGCGTCCTGCCTGCTGCTGGGTCTGAAAGGACATGCATGGGGGTGATGGGTGCCCGGCAGATCTGAGCCCAAGGGTGGCTGGTGCTCAAACCCTGGGGAGCTCTGCTCCCCTCAATCACAGCCCCCCACCACCACAAAACTAATCAGTTGTTTCTGCCACGAAGGATGTGGCCCATGGTGTCCACACAGGAGGATACCTGTTGTTCCCTCCGCAGAACCTGCCCCCTCTTTCCCCGCCAGTGGGGTAGGGACGCCCAGCCTGGGAGATAAGGGGGGCTGGGCACCAGCAGAGGTCTCCCAGCCTCACTGTATCACCGCCTCCAACGCAACGTAAGCTGCTCTTACCCGCTGTCCCCGCTGCCCTGCAGGACCTCCAGCTCCACCGGCCTCTCCAGCTGGACCCCATTCTCCTGTGAATGACATTGGCACCGCTGAGCCACAGCTGCCAGAACCAGCCCAACTCCCCCCACCCTCCCACACCCCACTTGGAAACAGTCCCAGGCTGAGCAGGGCCAGCCTAATGCCCCCAGGAACCCAGGTCTCCCTGCCTGGCACAGGGCACCCCAAGAAAGGGGTCCCATTTCTCCCAGCACCTCTATGGCTAGGGCCCTCAAACATCCCTGTGACCCCCACAGAACTCTTGATTCTGTGAGGACATAGGATTTTTTCTGACGCCTCGCTGTGCCTGTTTCCCCCCATACTTTTCATTGCTACCCAGTGGGGAGAAAAGGGTCAAGTTTGCTCTTGGGCTGTGCAGGATGGGGTGGTAGGAATGGTTCAGTAAGGAACCCACTGAAAGCAACCCAGATCAATGCAGCGCCTGAGAACATGGAAACCCCCCATGGCCGGAACATTGACACCTAGCATTCCACCGCCCGGAGGAAGGATGTCCCCACAGCCCACACCCCTCAGTAGGGAAGCTGAGCAGAGAGCAACTGGAGAACAAAGGACTGGGATGTGGCAGGCAGGGGATAAAGTGCTGGCTGTGGGCAGAGTCTGGCAGCTCTCATCTGGGACTGAGAAAGGGGCAGAGACAGAACTGGAAGTGGGGCCCACTCCAGCTTGGCTGGCAAATTGTTCTGTCCTGGCCTGATGGACTATGTCTTAACCTTTGTTTCTCTGTGTGAACGTAAGGAGGCCCCGGGTTGGGTTACAAGTGACTAGTGAACCAAGCTTTGTTCTGCAAATCCTGCCTGGGTGCATTAGTCCCTGCACAGCGTGAGAGTCTCTGACCAGGAGTCTTTCTCTGCTGGACTTGCTGGGCAGAGCTCACAGCAGGAATCAGGCACGCTGGAGCCCCAAGGCTCAGTCTTGGAGGCGGTGAGGCTGCGGGGCCCACCTCTGCAGGGGGTGAGGGAGGTCTGGCATGCTGAAGGGGTTCCTCCATGGAGCAGAGATCCTGCCAATTGGCAGAGGATACAGGGGGCATTACAGAGATCCCAAGTCTGCCCCTCACATTCTAGTTCACCAAAGAGCCTCCTGTCCAGTTTCCAGGGAAAGCCTATGTCACACCGGTCATCACAAGCTTTGTGAACTGCATGTGTAGATCGTACAGATGATTGTGATGTTGCATTCCATAGGATTCTGTGAAAATATGCTAATGAGTGTGAATATAATGTAACTGGAATATGCTTCATGAAATGGCTCTGTTTACTTGTAAGTCTTCCTGTAGGGGGAGGGTGGTGGTGGGGGGCTGCCTGCGCGCTGGCAAGTCGGCAATGAAGTCTTACAGTGACGTGAACTGAACTGGAATCCATCTTTAACCAGGTGCTTTTCCATTTAGAAGAAGGGGTGGGAACCCAGAGGGAGATAAAGGATTCCCATCTTGTGCAAAAGATATATAAGGGAGTGGAACAGAACAAAGGGGGCTGCAGTCATGAGAAATCTCTTAGCTACCACCTGAGCTGGAACAAGGACTGTACCAGGGGAAAGGATTGGGCCCAGAATAGAAAGACATCTAGTCTGTGACAGAAGCTTATTCGAACATCTCTGAGGGTGAGGTTTCATCTGTAATCATATTCTTACTGTATTAGGCTTAGACTTGCGTATTTTTGTTTTATTTTGCTCGGTAAATTACTTTGTTCTGTCTGTTATTACTTGGAACCAAGTAAATCCTACTTTTTATATTTAATAAAAATCACTTCTATTTACTAATTAACTGAGAGTAAGCAATTAATACCTGGGGAAGCAGACAGCTGTGAATATCTCTCTACCAGTGTTATAGAGGGCGGACAATTTATGAGTTTACCCTGTATACACTTTATACAGAGTAAAACAGATTTTGGGGTTTGGATCCCATTGGGAAATGGGTATCTGGGTGCTAGAGACAGGAGCACTTCTTAAGCTGTTTTCAGTTAAGTCTGCAGCTTTTGGGGGGGCGTGGTTCAGACTTGGGTCTATGTTTGCAGCAGGCTAGCGTGTCTGGCTCTACAAGACAGGGTACTGAAGTCCCAAGCTGCCAGGGAAAACGAGCTCAGAGGTAGTCTCAGCACATCAGGTGGCAGTCCTAAGGGGGTTTCTGTGATCTGTATCCATGTTGGGAAATGATGTTCTTAAGGCCTCGTTTTAAAGTAAGGGTGGGCAAACTTTTTGGCCCGTAGGGAAATTGTATGCAGGGCCATGAATGTAGGGCTGTGGCAGGGGTGAGGGAGGGGGTGCGGTGTGCAGGAGGGGGCTCAGGGCAGGGCTTTGGGGTGCAGGAGGGGTGCAGCAAGGGGCTCAAGGCAGGGGGTTAGGGAGCGGGGTGCAGGAGAGGTTCGGGCTCCGGCCCGGCGCTGCTTACCTCAAGTGGCTCCGGGGTGGCAGCGGCACGCAGCAGGGCTAAGGCAGGCTCCCCGCCTGCCCTGGTGCCGTGCCACTCCTGGAAGTACCCAGCATGTCCAGCAGTGGCTCCTGGGGGTGGGGTGGGGCAGGGAAGACAGCTCAGCCATGCACTGCCCTCACCTGCACGTACCACCCCTGAAGCTCCCATTGGCCGCGGTTCCCCATTCCCAGCCAATGGAAGCTGTGATAGCCGGTGCCTGCAAGCAAGGGCAGTGCACTGAGCCATCTGCCCCCCCTCCCCCCCACACACAGGGGCCATAGGGACGTGGTGCCGGCTGCTTCCGGGAGCGGCGCAGGGCCAGGGCAGGCAGGGAGCCTGCCTTAGCCCCGCTGCACCACAGGGCTGGCAATCCGCAGGCCGGATTGAAAGCCCCGATGGGCCCACGGGCCATAGTTTACCCTCCCTGTTTTAAAGGCAAGTTGCTCAAAGGTAGTGTGGAGACTTTCTCCTCCTGTCAGGGGGGGCACTTCTGTCCATTTACATATTGAGGCAGGTGCGAATGGGAACAAGCAGACAGACACAGCAGGGGTTCTCCTGAGTGGCAAGAAAGCTACCAGTGGGCCTGGGGTCAGCAGCATCTTATTACACAAAAAGAAAAGGAGTACTTGTGGCACCTTAGAGACTAACCAATTTATTTGAGCATGAGCTTTCGTGAGCTACAGCTCACTTCATCAGATGTTATACCGTGGAAACTGCAGCAGACTTTATATACACACAGAGAATATGAAACAATACCTCCTCCCACCCCACTGTCCTGCTGGTAATAGCTTATCTAAAGTGATCAACAGGTGGGCCATTTCCAGCACAAATCCAGGTTTTCTCACCCTCCACCCGACTTGATTATGATTATACACCAGCAGGAGAGTGAATTTGTGTGGGGGGGTGGAGGGTGAGAAAACCTGGATTTGTGCTGGAAATGGCCCAACTTGATGATCACTTTAGATAAGCTATTACCAGCAGGACAGTGGGGTGGGAGGAGGTATTGTTTCATATTCTCTGTGTGTATATAAAGTCTGCTGCAGTTTCCACGGTATAACATCTGATGAAGTGAGCTGTAGCTCACGAAAGCTCATGCTCAAATAAATTGGTTAGTCTCTAAGGTGCCACAAGTACTCCTTTTCTTTTTGCGAATACAGACTAACAAGGCTGTTCCTCTGAAACCTGTCTTATTACACAGAAGAGCAGCTTGGAGGGTGAGTTTAGGCTTTAGAACACATGTGAGGATTTTACTTCCAATGTTTCTCTTGGAGTCTCCGTTCTTTGTGAGCCCTACCCTGGCTGTGTGAGAAGTGGCGCTGTGCTCTGAGTGTAACCAGTCAGCGGCGCTGGGGGTTCCTGTGGGAACAGCTGGTCTGGTAATTCTGGGCACATCCAGTAGATCAGGGGCTGGGCACTCAGGGGGATGCTGGGCCATTGCTAGCCTGCATGTGCTGAGGAGAGGCCTGGTGCTGCCTGTGGCCGAAGCCAACAGGGAGCTGAACCTTGGCTGGTCCAGACAAGGCTCCCTCGCGTTAAGGGCAGGTGGGAGCGAGGTGCCTCGCAACCCTGGGTACCCCCGGGAGAGATGGGGGCATTACGGGTAACATTCACATCCCCCTACCAGTCCCTTACCTTGACCCTCACACCAGCCTCTCCTGGGGGCTGCACCTGCTGCTGTATCTGGGCCTGCAGGGTCTGGTTGGCCTCCTGGAGCTGCTCCAGCTGCTCCTTCAGCAGCTGCAGGGTCTCCGGGCCAGGGGGAACGGGGAGAGTGAGGGACAGACACCACAGCCTGCTTCCCCCACAGCCAGCGCTCCCACCCTGCCCGCTGCTGGGAGAGGCCAGGGCTGGAGTAGCCAGGAGCTCCTCCCAGGCCAGAGGGCCCCCGATGCGCCTTTTTCCTTCTACTCTCTCAGTAGCACAGCTATGGATAAGGCAAAGCAGGGACATTTCGGGGTGGAGTATTTTGTTCCTCAGGGAATTGGGAGCTGGGTTAGGGGAGATCCCCGACCCCCCGGCCAAGTGTCTCTCACCATCATGGGCTCAGCCAACTCCTGGGTCAGGGTCATAGTGTCCGCCTCCTCTGGCTCAGGAATCTCCTTCTCCAGGGTGCGCAGCTAGGAAGTTGCAAAAGAGTCAGACGTCTGAGAAGAGGCAGCTGTCCTGACCTACCTCCTGACTCCCCATGGCCCTGCTGCAGAAAGGAACTGGGCCAGGGGAACCGCAGAGAGATCAGTGCCCAGGTGAGACCCCCTCTTGGGCTTGGTGTTGGGGGGAAAGGTGGCACAGAATGCCCCTGCAAACCCCCCTTCCCCTTGGTGTGGGGGATAGGAAGCTCTCCTGATACCTGCTGCCTTCCCTTGAGCTGCTCCACCTCCCAGAGGGCCTGCTCCAGTTGGCACTTCATCTCGGTTCGCTCAGTGTTCAGCTTCTCCACCACATCCCGGGCCTCCCGGAAACGGAGCATCAGGAACTCCTTCTCCTCGCGCTGTATGGCCTGGAAGCGCAGGAACTCCTGGTAGCGCTGCCGCAGCATCTGGTTACTCTGTCGAATGGCCTCTGCCCCAGGGACAGGGAGATTGTTAGCCTGGTGCTGGCTGAGTTCCTACCCTCTCTTTGTGGGGGGGCACACCCCTTATCCAGCTCTCCACCCCCCCATCCGGGAGACCTCTCTGGGACCAAGGGAGAAGTTTGGTAATGTGTTTGATGCCCGGGTGTGCCTCAGTTTCCCTCTGTGCTTAGCATTGCTGTGTATGGCCTGGGGTGGCATGAGTAGGTCGCTCAAGGACTGGCTGAAACCCACCCACTGCAATGGAGGATGTAGAAAGACAATGGGAGCCCCAATGTGTAGGATGTGTCAGGTCACATCTAGCAACAACCCAGTAATAGCAGGTTTTCTCCCACCCCTAAGCCCATTGCTTCTTGTCCTGTCCTTAGAGGTTCAGGAGAACAAGTTTTCTCCCTCCCCCTTGTAACAACTTTTATGTAATTGAAAACTGTTCTCATGTCCCCCCTCAGTCTTCTCTTCTCCACACTAAACAAACCCAGTTTTTTCAGTCTTCCCTCATAGGTCCATGTTTTCTAGCCCTTTGATCAGTTTTGTTGCTCTTCTCTGTACCGTCTCCAATTTGTCAACATCTTTCCTAAAAGGTGGCCTTGTTTGAAAAGGCTCCTTGGTGTCACTGCAAATACTCCAGGGCCACACTGCCCACTGAAGGGGCCCAAGAAAAGCCTCCTGCCAGGGGTCTTTCTTGGCAGGAAACAGCGCAGCGCACCCTGGCCCTCAACCCACCCACCCCCCAGGCCACTGGGAGCAGGGACTAGCCGCAGTGCACCCCGGCCCTCGACCCACCCACCAGGGGGAGCAGGGACTAGCCACAGCGCACCCCGGCCCTCGACCCACCCCACCGGGCCACGGGGAGCAGGGACTAGCCACAGCGCAGCACACCCCGGCCCTCAACCCACCCACCATGGGGAGCAGGGACTAGCCACAGCGCACCCTGGCCCTCGACCCACCCCACCCCACCGGGCCACTGGGAGCAGGGACTAGCCGCAGCGCACCCCGGCCCTCGACCCACCCCACCCCACCGGGCCACGGGGAGCAGGGACTAGCCACAGCGCAGCACACCCCGGCCCTCAACCCACCCACCATGGGGAGCAGGGACTAGCCACAGCGCACCCTGGCCCTCGACCCACCCCACCCCACCGGGCCACTGGGAGCAGGGACTAGCCGCAGCGCACCCCGGCCCTCGACCCACCCCACCCCACCGGGCCACGGGGAGCAGGGACTAGCCACAGCGCACCCCGGCCCTCGACCCACCCACCATGGGGAGCAGGGACTAGCTGCAGCACACCCCTGCCCTCGACCCACCCACCATGGGGAGCAGGGACTAGCTGCAGCACACCCCGGCCCTCGACCCACCCCACCCCACCGGGCCACGGGGAGCAGGGACTAGCCACAGCGCACCCCGGCCCTCGACCCACCCCACCCCACCAGGCCACGGGGAGCAGGGACTAGCCGCAGCGCACCCCGGCCCTCGACCCACCCACCATGGGGAGCAGGGACTAGCTGCAGCACACCCCGGCCCTCGACCCACCCCACCCCACCGGGCCACGGGGAGCAGGGACTAGCCACAGCGCACCCCGGCCCTCGACCCACCCACCATGGGGAGCAGGGACTAGCTGCAGCACACCCCGGCCCTCGACCCACCCCACCCCACCGGGCCACCCCCCCCCCCCCCATGGGGAGCAGGGACTAGCCACAGCGCACCCCGGCCCTCGACCCACCCCACCCCACCAGGCCACGGGGAGCAGGGACTAGCCGCAGCCCCCCCCCACCCCCCCCGGCCCTCGACCCACCCACCATGGGGAGCAGGGACTAGCTGCAGCACACCCCGGCCCTCGACCCACCCCACCCCACCGGGACACGGGGAGCAGGGACTAGCCACAGCGCACCCCGGCCCTCGACCCCCCCACCCCACCCCACCAGGCCACCCACCCCCCCCCCGGGGGGAGCAGGGACTAGCCACAGCGCACCCCGGCCCTCGACCCACCCCACCCCACCAGGCCACGGGGAGCAGGGACTAGCCGCAGCGCACCCCGGCCCTCGACCCACCCACCATGGGGAGCAGGGACTAGCTGCAGCACACCCCGGCCCTCGACCCACCCCACCCCACCGGGACACGGGGAGCAGGGACTAGCCACAGCGCACCCCGGCCCTCGACCCACCCACCATGGGGAGCAGGGACTAGCCGCAGCGCACCCCGGCCCTCGACCCACCCACCACAGCGCGGCCCCCCAGTCGGAGATGAGGCCTCCAGGGGGCCCGGCTCTTCCTCACCCTTCAGGTCCTGGTTCTCGACCAGGAAGCGCTGCAGGGCCTCGTGCCCGGCCAGGTCGGGGGGCAGCTGCCAGGCCGCCACCTTGCCCAGGGACGAGTCCTCGCCCAGGGCTCCGCAGTCGCCACCTGGGCCTGCGCTTGGCTGCACCATCTCGCAGCTCCGGCGCTGCCGGGTCCCGTTCATCCAGCCGAGCGGGTCCCGGCCTGCGGGGAGAGATTGCGGCGGATGAGACGGGGGGGCGCCAGCCAGATGGGCCCGGACACCTGGGTTCAAATTCCCGGCGGGAGAAGAGGAAAGATCGGACACCTGGGTCCCTTACCCGGCAGCGCGGGGGAGCTCGGACGCCTGGGTCCCTCGGCCAGAAGTCCTAGTACCTGCGTCTCGCCCCGCCCGGCTCCCACTTCCGGGATCGCGGCTCTGCCCCCCCGGAAGTTCTGCCACAGAACCCGGAAGCAGAAGGGACGCTCGGCGGCGGGTGCGGACCCCGTTGGGAACCGGCCCTGAAGACGCAGCACCGCTTCCGCCTCGCTAGGTGTCATGGCGGGGTCGGGGTGAGGCCGCCGATTGGCCGGGCGGCCAGGGGGCGGGGCCGCGATGGGGAGCCGGGCGAGCGTTGGACCGGCGGCAGAGCGGGAGCGGGAGCGAGACCTGGGGAGCGGTAGGGAGCGCCCGGGGCGGGGGGGCGCTGGGGGAGGCGGGGGGCATGTGGGAGCGGGGGGGGCGCTGGGGAAGCGGGGGGCATGTGGGAGCGGGGGGGGCGCTGGGGAAGCGGGGGGCATGTGGGAGCGGGGGGGGCGCTGGGGAAGCGGGGGGCATGTGGGAGCGGGGGGGCGCTGGGGAAGCGGGGGGCATGTGGGAGCGGGGGGGGCGCTGGGGAAGCGGGGGGCATGTGGGAGCGGGGGGGCGCTGGGGGAGGCGGGGGGCATGTGGGAGCGGGGGGGCACTGGGGGAGGCGGGGGGCGCTGGGGAAGCGGGAGACGTGGGGGGGGCGCTGGGGGAGGCGGGGGGCATGTGGGAGCAGGGGGCGCTGTGGGAAGCGGGAGGCATGTGCGGGAGGTGGGGCGCTGGGGGATGTGGGAGCAGAGGGGCAATGGGGGTGGGGGGCTCTGGGGAGGACAGGAGCAAACGGGGCATGGAGTAGTGGGAGGGGACCAGGAGTTAGAGGGCACTAGGGGTAGGAATGGGGGGAGCAGGGGGACACTGGGCGGGAGTGAAGGCACTGGGAGGGTAGGAAGGTGCTGGGGGATGAGGAGCAAGTGGGTGTGGTTCGCTGGGGTGGCTGGAGCTAGGTGTCACTGGGGAGCAGTGGTTCTGGTGTCTGGGGCTGTACTTGGGGCAGGACCCAACAGTGACCCCTCCCCTCACTCCTATCCTGGGACTTCTCTTCACATCCCCACCAGGCCTCATTTCATCTCCGCCATGGGGCTTCTCTGCCCGGCAGCTCAGTATCTGCCCGTCCTGTTGGACAAGCAGAGACCTGTTGCCCTGCTCCCCAGGGTGCTGGTGGAGGAGCCACAAACTGGGCCGGCCAGCCCTCCCGGGGCGGGGAGTCCAGCTCACACAAACCAGCCTGGTCTCTCTCTTGCTCTTAGGGAGCAGCAATTCAAGCACCATGACTCTTCAGCGGGAGCTGAGCCGCTCGCAGGTGTGTGGGATGATGCGCGAGGAGCTGTGCCAGGGCAAGGACTTCCTCCAGTCCGACACCCACATCTTCATCATCATGGGGGCCTCGGTGAGTACCCACAGCCCACCCTGGAGCCATTGAGGCAGGTGCCCCATGCCGGCGTCTTCTCCTGAGTCGCCTGGCCCTTGCAGTGCCTCCAGCCTTAACCCAGATCACCCTGTACCAGAGTCTGCACAGGCAGCGCTGAGGGGTCACAAGGAGCTCCCTGTAGCTCTCTGTGGAGCGCTGAGGGAGGGGATGGATCTGGGCAGCGGGCCCCAGGGATGGACCCAGATCCCCCTCAAAGGGCTCTGTGTTTCCGTGGGCTGGGACCCTGAAATCCCTCTGGCCCATGGCTCTGGGGGCTGACAAGATTGATCTTCTCCTGGAGAGACAGCAGCCCTGAAGCACCAAGTGGCCGCAGGATTGTCCCTGGTCTCGAGCCTCCCTTGGGGCTACTCAGGTACTTCTGCACTGGGCTCGAAGGAGAGGGCAGGGATTGTACCAATTGAGATAAATAATGTTGATGGCTGCAGCCAGGCTGCCCGGCACTGGGTACAGAGTGACTCAACTTCCTGAACCATGTTGTGTAACACAGGCAGTGATTGCAGCTCATTGTGTAACCTGGCTCCCGCAGCAGCAGCTTGTGGGATGGGGGTGCGGGTGGGGAGTTAATCCCTGCAGGCACAGATCAGGTTTAGCTGTGTGCCCCGCCATGGGGAAACCCGAGGCCTGGGTGCACTGCTGATGCTGGCTGTGGTGATGAGACAGTGCGGGGGGCAGGCCCTGGCTTGGCCAAGCCGCCGTTATCTCGATCCTGTGAACAGTAGCATGATTTCAACAAGCAAATGTGTGTGACTGAGATTGTCCCGGTGCCCTCAAATTCACCCACCGCCCCAAATTTGCCCTGACACCCCCAGATGCCCCCAAAACTGCCCCACCCCACAGGCATGCTTTAGGCCCCTGAAACCACCCCATACTCACCTCAATGCCCCCCAAACTGTCCCAGTTCCCTCCCCAGGGCCTTCAGTTTAACCATTTTCTACCTCAAAGTCCGGTTCCCTCTGCTCTCAGAGAGGCCGTGATGGTGACGCTCATGCTGCAGGATCCATGGTGTTAGCAAAAGGGGAAGTGCCAGGCACTGCTGAGTCACTGTGCCCAGAGGAGAGCAAGGCTGCTCTAGCCCCGGTGCTGGTGGTGGATGTCCTTGTGCAGCAAGAAGTGTATGGTCACATGGAGGTGGCTATCGCTATAAGTCCTGGCGCAGATGAGCCCCAGGTAGCTCTTACCTCTACGTAGCTTGGTATGGTCAATGCTACACTGCTCACCCTTGCTATCTTCATGGAAGTAAACCTACCTTAGCTTGCAGCAGTGTGGGACATCTAGTCCAACACGTGTGTGTCCCAGGCCAGAGAATCTCACCTACTTCGGTCCCTGGTTAGCCAGTACCTTGTGTGAGGTTCCAGCATCTTCCATCAAGGCAGCCTGGCTGGACTCGGAGGCAGCAGAGACAGAGAAGTCCTCATTTCCCTTGGGAGTTGGTTCCGATGGCTAATCACCCCCACAGGTGCTGTATTGCTGGACTGAATTTCTCTGGCTTCAGCTTCCCTTTCCCAGTGCTGGGGCTGCCTTTCTCCACAGCGCTGGAATCAGTCTTCCCTTTGAAACAGAGGGAGCCGTTTAGGGCTCTTGCATTTTTCTGCAGCCCTTGAATAATTTTTCTGGTTCTTTTCTCCGCCCTCTTTAGTTTTTCCATAGTCGTTTTAAAATGTGGCCACCAGAACTGGACACAATATCCCAAGGCCGTGTCTGGTGGTAAAATCCACTCCCTGCTTCTGCTCACGGCTGCCCTGTTGCTACACCCCAGGATCCCACGAATCCCTTTGGCCACAGTGTGGCCCTGGGAGCTCAGGTTGTTCACTAAGGCCCGTAGGTCCTTCTCAGATTCATGGCTTTCCAGAGACCGCCCCCATGCAGTGGGTTCCTTGTTCCTAGGTGTGTGTAAAGCACACCTCTCTTTGCAGAGATTGGGGCTGGGGCGGACAACACATGCACTCCCACCACCCCACCCCTAGTGGGAGCAGAGCCCCTGTTACACTAGGCACTGCATGGACACTCAGTCCCTACGCTGTAGTGGGGAAACTGAGGCATGGAGCGATTCGGTGACTAGTCCAAGGTCACACAGGGCAATTGAACTCAGGAGCCCAGCTCCCTTTCTAGGCAGGCATTCCTCCAGCTTCATGTGAAGTGGGTTAACCCCAAGCTAGTGGAGCCGATGCCTTCCATAGCCTCTCTCACATCAGGGAATCATGGGCAGGAGCTAGGCATCCCCACACTATGAGCCAGGCCTGGGTCAGCTGTGGTGGGGAGCTGCCCCTGCCATCGCTTGGGGTCTCTGTGGGTCAGGCAGGGATGGCCCAGGCTGAATCCCTGGCACCTGTCCCTCCCCAGCAGAGGGAGGAAGGAGAAAGCTGGCTTATTGTTTGTGATAGATAAGGAGCTTCCTTGGCTTCCTGTTCATTTCCCCAGGGCTTTGTGAGGGGAAATGGGCCAGGTTCTGGGGGAGCTGTTCATTTTCCCCAGGGCTTTCTGGGGGGGACCTGAGCCAGGTTCTGGCGGAGCAGAATCTGGGACACGGAATGAGCAAAAGGTAGTGTCTGGCTCCTGGGCAGGGCGGGTGGCAAACATGAATGTCCTTGCTGTCGTGTGGTGGGGAGGGGAGCTGTGGACGTGCTGGTTCGGCTGGGCCGGACACCTGGCTCTCACTGGCATATTTTCCCCTAGCTGACCAGGGCCCTGCTCAGCCATGTCCTGGCCTCGGACTGACATCCCTACTCTGTGGGTGTGTTTGTGTGTATGTATGCTGACTTGCTACAAGCCCAGACACCTTCCGCCTGGGGCACTGCCCCTGCTGTGTCATGCAGGGGAGGAAGGCTGTGACTCACTGCTTTGTTTTGTCCCCATCTCCCTGAACTAGTTTGCATTGAAATGGGCTGGTGGGTGGAGCCAACATGGACTAGGTCAGACTGGGAGCCACACCCCCACCGCGACTCTCAGAGCAAACTTACATAACCCTCCACCAGGCTGGGCCTAGCTGAATAGGAGGCAGCTAAGCTGCTGCAGGTTCTGAACGGGGCAAGAGGGTGGGATGGGGGGGGGTGGCCCTTTGCAGCCGGCAGAGAAGCCCTCTGAGCTAGATCTTTGGGGAATCAATCCACGCACCTAGTGTGATCCTCCCTGCCCCACCCCCTGTGTCTAACTTGCCGCAGAGGTCCTGCTGTGTCCGCACCCACCTCCCTGCCGCCCATGTCTGACCCTCCCCAGAGCTCCTGCTGCATCCACATCCACACCCACCTCCCTGTCGTCGTCCCCCACCCTATGTCTTACCCACCCCATAGGTCTTGCTGTGTCCACACCCACCTCCCTGCCTCCCACCCCCATGTCTGACCCTCCCCAGAGCTCCTGCTGCATCTGCACCCACCTCCCTGCCCCCTGTGTCTGACCCTCCCCAGAGCAGCATCCCAAGGGGACAGCCTGGCTCTACAGAGCCCCCAAATCCCCAGGGTGGGACAGACGGACAGGGATCCATGCCCACGCACAACATGTGGCCCCATCTGGGGGACGTCCCTGCCCAGTGCAGACAGGGGGCTGGTGTTTGCTTCCACTGGCTGCCGCAGACAATGAGCCTGTGTTGTCAGCCTGCGTGCACAGAGTTCATGGTCAGCAGGAGGTCAGATGGCATGGTCTGTGTGGCTCAGGCTGGGGAGTTGCCCTGTCAACCACTGCCCCTTGCACCAAGAACCGCCTTTCTTTTGGGTGCTGAGCCTCCATGACTCAGCAAATCCCTGTTGCTTGCAACCCAATCAGCGTGATCTCTCTCCCCCCACCCCG